GTAATATACTAGACCTATCCTGAACTATACAATGTTGTCTTTCACTGTATTTCAGAGAGTTTTGCAGATGGATGCTGAGGAAATCCTGCATGAATTCATATATATTTGTGAGGCAGTGTTCAACCTCACAAAAGCAAGAAGGAGAGGCAGAAATATCATTGGCCACAGGGCTATAATCAATGTCCCAGGGCAACGTGGGGGTAACATCACCCTTTGCACTGCCATTTCACAGCATGGGGTTCTCCTCCGTCATGCCAAAATGGGCCCTTACAACACCTCACATTCTCGCATTTTTGGACCGATTGCACCACATCGTCACCGCAGGTAATGAAATGGACCAGATACAATACACTGTCATCTGGGACAATGTGTCATTCCACCACTCTGCTTTGGTCCAGAACTGGTTTCAACACCATCCACAGTTGACAGTACTATACTCCCCGTTTCTAAACCCTATCGAATAGTTTTTCTCTGCATGGCAGTGGAAGGTTTACGATCTCCAGCCCCAGGCTCAGGTACCCCTCATTCAGGCCATGGAGGATGCCTGTGACCAAGTCGACGCCGCAGCTGTGCAAGGAAGGATTCGACATTCAAGACGGTTCTTCCCGCGTTGTCTTGCTAATGAGGATATTGCTTGTGATATTGATAATTCTCTGGCCAGATCCAGCTAGGCGAAGAGATAATTTACAGTATGTTTACTGTAGTATTTTCTGTACAATATTGTCAGTTTTTTCAGAATTTTTTGTTGTTGTTTACTGTAATTGTAACCTGTACTGGATACAGTATTTTATGTTTGTCTGTTATTTGCTGAGCTAACAGTGTTATGCACACTACTGTAGTAGCGTGACTACTGGGACATGTTTTGTTGTGATTCTCCATGTTGACTGATTTGGGAGAGAATTCAATGATATTTTCGTCAGTCTGCAGCATTGGTCTTGTGTAGTGTTTGGTGAACTATTGTATAGTTGCACTTTCTGTGTACTTCATTTACAGTACTCTAATCCCTGAGAATTAGACTTGCTAAAAGTGTTTTGGGTTAGCAACAGCAGTGTGTGACTGGATCAAAAAGATTAAAGTCATATGAAATGTTTCGTATGGTAACAAAATATTGTTTTTATAAAGTTGTGTATAGTTTTGACAAAAGTGTTCCATTTTGCAAATGATCTGAAGTGTTGTGCTACTTTGGTGTAGGGTTGTGTTAATTGTGTGTAGTGTTTTGATAAACCGGGCCCTGTTTTCAAAATTGTGCTTAAGCAATCGTAAAAAACTGTAACAAAATGTGCATAGTGTCTGTGATATTTGGCAACAATGTAAGTATTTATAAGTGTATTTACAATTTTAAATTAAAAATGTTTTACAAAAATAAAGAGACCGTAGACTCACAATTTGTGTATTTTTAGCTTCAGTCCTATAAAATATGACAATTATGATAAATGTTCCATTTGTTATCATTAAATTGCAACAATGTGTATTTATTTGTGTTACTTTCTTGTAAAAAAAAAAAGTTTTCTAAAAACTTGCAAAATATTTAGTAAAACCCAGACTTTAAAGTTATGTCCCTCAGTCTGAACTCAACCCCGTCACACTAACCATTCTACTGTAACAATTTAGACTGCGCTCATATGTGACATCATTTCCCAGAAATGACATCATTCAGGTCTCTTTACTAGTGGTGCAGAAAATGTTTAGCAGTATCATACTTTTTATTCATATTTTTGAGGCATGTTATAGTCCGGGAGGGTACTGTCAAGCTTAACAACTCAACCCCGTCACATAAAATTAAGATGGAAAATTATGAATAACTTTTTCAACATTTTATTTTAATCCATAAGTATTTACTTATTTTATTGCTGCCATATATGGTCTACTCCGCTATACTACATGAGGAGCAGTGAAAAACCACAACCCTGTCACAAATATATGTATTTCTCATTGTTACGGGGTTGTAAACTTGTGACAGGGTTGAGTTATTTGCTTCATTTATTAATAATTTTAATGAAAAACAAATCAAATAAAATAGTCATGGTTTCAGTAAATATATCATGACAACTCATAATTTTGTTTTAAATAGAATTTTTGATGTAATATGTCCACTTAAATGTTGACAAGCATCATACATCGTTTGCAGCAGAAAGACCATGTTGGCCATGCAGATATGCTGACCCAGAAACAAGGGGACAATATGAGAGACAAACATAACCAAAAATGTAAATTTAAGGCAATGTATCCCTTCAAATGTGTTACAGTCTTCAACCCCGTCACACCTGGTCACATTAATATGTTTTAGAAAATTATAGGGAAGACAAAAGTATTTCTTGCTGATTACCATCTGACATGTTAAGGGCTAAAACAATACAATTGTGGTTTTAGTTACAATTTTAAATTAAAAATATGTTTTACAAAAATAAAGAGACCGTAGACTCACAATTTGTGTATTTTTAGCTTCAGTCCTATAAAATGTGACAATTATGATAAATGTTCCATTTGTTATCATTAAATTGCTACGAGGGACACATGGGCAGTAGGTACATGTTTGTTTTATAACAATTTCTGTGTAAAATCCTTTTTAAACCAATCCTATTTTGTCCGTTACGGGGTTGAGAAAAAAAGGAGTCTAAAGCTGAAAAAACTGAAAATAATAAAAGGTGGGAAAATATGTTTTTTTTGGAGGTTCGATACGTGCCTAATGATGTGGGATATTTAGCAGTTTAATCACAAGTAGTTTAAAAACATGTATATTCCAAGTTGAAATGTTACCGAATCCCAATATATATATATATTACAGAATATATAGGTCTATAAAACTATATGTGACCCTGGACCACAAAACCAGTCATAAGGGTCAATTTTTCAAGGATAGGACAATATTTGGCCGAGATACAACTATTTGAAAATCTGGAATCTGAGGGTGAAAAAAAATCTAAATATTGAGAAAATCATCTTTAAAGTTGTCCAAATGAAGTGCTTAGCAATGCATATTACTAATCAAAAATTAAGTTTTTATATATTTACGGTAGGAAATGTACAAAATATCTTCATGGAACATGATCTTAATATCCTAATGATTTTTGGCGTAAAAGAAAAATTGATAATTTTGACCCATACAATGCATTGTTGGCTATTACTACAAATATACCTGTGCTACTTATGTGGTCCAGGGTCACACACACACACACATATATATATATATATATATATATATATACACACACATTCACACACATCTACCCACATTCTTCAAAATTACTTTTTCCATCAGAAGAAGGAAACGCATACAGGTTTGGAATAAACATGAGGGTGAGTAAATGACAGAATTTAGAATATATTTTTTTTTAGACTAATAGTCTTTAATAGGCTACCTTAAAATGTCCTTCAGGGTGTACAGCAATTTGTCATCTACCCATGTATTTTGTACCTCTAGATGCATTAATTAGCCTATTTAAAAGGCACATTATTTCTTAATTGCACAGTGTATAAGACGGAATGGATGTGTTTAGTGGAAGTACACTGCAGCTCCGGCCGCTTGTTTCACTCGGACTGTATTGCGCTGCGCACACAGCTGATCATGTGACTGCTTCAGCAAACACCATTCAGTGTACAAACATAACCTGCTGATTCAATCTGGGGGATGAGATATTAAAAGCGTCAGAAAATGCTGCTAGTTTTATCTGAGGAGCACAAGGAGCATTTAGGATTCTTGTCAGAAGTGGATTCCGCGGGTAAGAGACACAAATAGCAGGAGACCGCATTACATTATTCACTTGTGTTTGTGATTATGTCTCATGTCTGCTTATCGGTAATAAATACGGTCCTCTTATAAGATTGCAGCGTTTAAATATCTTTTGTGAGTTACTTTTTTCTAAACTTACAATATGCTTACAGCTTTAACCATATTTCCTGCGTTATCCATGATTTGAGAAGGAGATTATGAGCTTTTGCGTTTATACAGCCAGAATAATATTTGTTAGTTATGTAGTTCAAAATGCAAAAACATTTTCTTTATTTCCATGTTTAAATGAAAGAGGGAAAATCTTTTATCAGGCTATATATATATATATATACACACACACACACACACACATCTACCCACATTCTTCAAAATTACTTTTTCCATCAGAAGAAGGAAACGCATACAGGTTTGGAATAAACATGAGGGTGAGTAAATGACAGAATTTAGAATATATATTTTTTTAGACTAATAGTCTTTAATAGGCTACCTTAAAATGTCCTTCAGGGTGTACAGCAATTTGTCATCTACCCATGTATTTTGTACCTCTAGATGCATTAATTAGCCTATTTAAAAGGCACATTATTTCTTAATTGCACAGTGTATAAGACGGAATGGATGTGTTTAGTGGAAGTACACTGCAGCTCCGGCCGCTTGTTTCACTCGGACTGTATTGCGCTGCGCACACAGCTGATCATGTGACTGCTTCAGCAAACACCATTCAGTGTACAAACATAACCTGCTGATTCAATCTGGGGGATGAGATATTAAAAGCGTCAGAAAATGCTGCTAGTTTTATCTGAGGAGCACAAGGAGCATTTAGGATTCTTGTCAGAAGTGGATTCCGCGGGTAAGAGACACAAATAGCAGGAGACCGCATTACATTATTCACTTGTGTTTGTGATTATGTCTCATGTCTGCTTATCGGTAATAAATACGGTCCTCTTATAAGATTGCAGCGTTTAAATATCTTTTGTGAGTTACTTTTTTCTAAACTTACAATATGCTTACAGCTTTAACCATATTTCCTGCGTTATCCATGATTTGAGAAGGAGATTATGAGCTTTTGCGTTTATACAGCCAGAATAATATTTGTTAGTTATGTAGTTCAAAATGCAAAAACATTTTCTTTATTTCCATGTTTAAATGAAAGAGGGAAAATCTTTTATCAGGCTATATATATATATATATATACACACACACACACACACACATCTACCCCCATTCTTCAAAATTACTTTCACTGTATATTCTCTCTCTCTCTCGCACACACACACACAATCGCGCACACTCTCTCACACACACTCTCACACTCTCTCTCTCACACACACACACCCACACCCACAAACATAATCATAATCACTATAATAAAGCATCTTGAATGATTTTCATTGTAATGTGATGTTTATCAGTTGTTGGTGAATTCGGCAGAATCGCTGTGGAGTTTCTGAAAAAAGGCTCGAATCCTAAAATATATGAGGGAGCTGCACGTGAGTTATTGATATGGTAGTAATATCTGGGCTTGTTTATGAGCTGATGTCTTGAAAGCTGAATAAATACTGTTTTTTGTTTTTTTTTGTCGTCATGACAATTGTTTATGAATTTAAATGCTTGCATTCATATTCAAATGTATATTTATTTTAATTTTAAATTAAATTACAATTATTAAATTCATTATTTACTGTGGAATGATTTTTAAAGTAAACCTCATTATACATTTTCAGACTGTTTCATCAAATGGAAAAAACAACAACAACTGGAAATGACAGTTATTATAATTATGTAGGAAACTCCAAGACAGCAATAAATCCATGAATGCTTTTGCTGTAAAATATTTCAAAATAAGTAACTGTAACTTAATGTGTGTCAAACAGCTAGGTTTGGTGTAAAACTAGTGCTGTCAAACGATTAATCGCAAAATCCAAAAGTTTTTATTTACATAATATGTGTGTGTGTGTACTGTGTATATTTATATAAATACACACACACATGCATGTATATATTTAAGAAAAATGTTATGTTTATATATTAAATATTTATATATAATATCAATTCAATGAATATAAATGTATACATGTAAATATTTTCAAAATATATGCATGTGTCTTTATTTATATTTTTTTATATATATATATATATATATATATATATGTGTGCACACACTTATATTATGTAAACAGAAACGTTTATTTTGGATGGATTAATCGTCTGGCAGCACTAGTTTAAAGCGATCATGAGTAGATGTCACAGGTTGCTGTTGTAGGGAAGCTGGATGTGTCGTCAGAGAGAGTGCAGCACGGCGTGGAGGGCCTGATGTATCTCCTCACCGAGAGCTCCAAGCTAACGGTGCGTCAGTCCATCACAGACACTGCTAGAGCAGCAACAGCTGGATGAAAGTCAAGATCAGTTACTATACAATGAACTTGATTTCTGGTGTAATCTTGCAGATCTCGGAGGTGGATTTCCAGGACTCTGTGCTGGTGCTGGGATTCTCAGAGGAGCTCAATGCACTTCTGCTCCAGCTGTATTTGGAGAACAGGAAGGAGGTCCGACAGATCCTCAGCATACTGGCCCCCAGCCTCCCGCATTACCACAACCTGGAGTGGAGGCTCGATGTGCAGGTGAGACTCTAATCTGACTGACAGACTGATTACAAACCCACTCCACACCACATCAGCAGAGCTGTGTTGATATTCTTCTTCTTCGGTTTTATGGCGGGTAGCACCAATGTTAAGGTACATTATCGCCACCTACTGTACCCTTTCATAATAAGAGGCCCAAAAACAAAAACAATATATATATATATTTTTTTTTAAAATAACTTTACTTCTTTACCTCAAGAAGATTTTCCCACTAAATTCTCTTAATCAGCTCTGTTCTCTTAAGATACAAAAATAAACTTTCTAGTCCAGAAGTAAATATATTTTTAAGCTTTAGGTTATCCACTCCCATCTTTCTAAGTTCATTCTTCATTGCTTCTCGTTCATTAGTATACTTTTCACAAATACAAATAACATGTTCTACTGATTCCTCCATTCCACAGTGCTCACATAATCCAGTTGGATGTTTATTTATTATTTTTAAGATTTTATTCAGCATAGTATGCCCAACCCTTAATCTTGTTAGAATATTTTCCTCTTTGGTGCTTCTTTTAGTTATTCTCGCGACTCCTACTTCTCGCTGTATTTCATAAATGGGATACAGGAAATACAGGACGTCAACTTTATGTTGCCACTCCTTAGTGGTATATGCTTTAATTACTGCTTTTGCTTCATATTTACTAAGTGAGATTCATGATATCCTCGTTTTCCAATGCCTGTTTTGCTAATCCATCAACCTTTTCATTACCCTTTATCCCCCTATGAGCTGGTATCCACATAAATATTATCATGATGTTCATATTCTTAAATCTATACAGATTTTCATATATCTCATTTACTATATCCTGTCTACTATGAGATGTGAATGATTGCAATGACTTTAATGCCGAACATGAATCTGTACAAAGTATAACCTTTTTGATTTGAGTCTCCTCTATCCACTGTAGTGCTGTTGCTATTGCCATCATCTCTACTGTGTATACTGATAAATGATCTGATGTTCTCCTATTAACAGAAATGTTTAAGGATGGAATACTAAATGCAAATCCTGTTCTCCCTGTATTAGGATCTTGAGATCCATAAGTATATACTGGAGCAAATACTTGATATACAGTTTGTAGTCTATCTTCAACAACAGCTACAATGTTTTCAGGTTCTTTCATTAACTCCAGTACATAAAAATCGATGAGTACTGCAGGAAACATCCAAGGTGGCGTTATTGATAACGGTACTGCAGGAATGTATCTTTTATGACTTAAAATAATTTCTCTAGCTTCTTTGTCACTATTCCATGCAAAACACCTCTGTTTAGACCTTTCCTTTTACCAGCACGGAAGGAGTACCTTTACTGTTGAATGGCGGTCTTCTGAATGACCTTGAAGATTTACCCAGTAGTTCATCATTAACTGCTTTCGTCTGATTTGTAATGGCATTTCACCCACTTCAACCTGAAGAGCAGATACAGGAGTCGTTTTAAAAGCACCACAACAAATTCTCAAAGCTTGAGCTTGTATCACATCCAGCTTCTTCAATAAAGTTTCTGCTGCCGAGTCGTAAACAATAGTTCCGTAATCTAACACTGATCTAATCAGTGCTATATAAATACTTTTCATTGCAGCTCTACTCGCTCCCCACTCTGATCCTCTTAGACATCTCATCACATTTAAAATCTTTTTACATTTAGTGTCAATCTTTTGAATATGTTCGTTCCATGTTAATTTTGTGTCAAACCACACACCCAGAAACTTAAAAACTTTAACTTGTTCAATAGTTTAATGTACTGTGCGCGTTAAAATCCCCACATATCACTCTCTTATTTCCATCCATTCTTTCAATTTGCATTAACCCATTCAGATCTAATTTCTTGCAAGGATTATAATAATTAATAATTATGAGCTCTCCTTCCTTCATCAAGATCTCTATGACTATGTATTCATGCTCATTTCCTATTCCTATCTCTCTAAATGCAATATCTTCTCTAATAAATGTAACACACCCACCCCCTACTCCTTCCCTCCTATCACACCTATCACAATCATATCCACCTAGTCTAAAATCTAAATTTGGTCTCAACCATGTCTCCTGAACACAAATAACACTGGGTTT